AAAGAAAAAAAATAGTTCATAATAAAACAACGTGTATTTCAATATGTAAATGCGCATGCAGGACTCTAGTAGAAGACCTCTCCCCACCGCTCCACCCCCACCAGCGGCACACACACATTTCCAAACTCCCCCCAGAGATCCAACCCTAAGGACCACTGATTAGAATAATAATCGCTGGCATACAGTGAGTGCTTTCTCTGAGCCAGGCATTCTAAACTGTGTGTGTGTGTGTGCACGCGCATGTGTGCACCCCCATGTGTGCATACAATCATCTAATCTTCAGGACACTCTGAGGTAGGTACTATCATTAGCCCCATTTTACAGATGAGAAACAAAGGCCCGGAGCTTGAGTTACTTGCCCAGGTTTGCACAGCCAGCGAGCAGGGGAGCTGGGATTTGAACCAGAGCCAACTGGCTTTCCTTGGGGCGGAGGCTGGGCCTGAGGGGATTGGAGCCAAGTGGGCAGCAACTGGGCCCAGCGCTCTAGCCTGCAGGGCTTTTCAACCTCAGCTCGATTCCTCTGATGGGCTGGATCTGGGTTCAAGCGAGCAAGGTAGGATCCTAGAGAAGACGAAACCTGAGCCAGGCCAGAGATGCGGGTAGGAGAGCTAGAGAAAAGTGTTCTCTGGGCAGTGTTCTCTGGGGACGGATGTGGATGACGGGGGTACAGCAGTAGGTGGGGGGTCATATGGAGGACATTTGCAAGCGGGTTTGGGTGGCCACATGCCCAGGAAGAAGCTGCCTTCACGTCCTGCCCTGGGTGAGGACCCCTGATTAAGGTGGGGCACCTGAAAATGTCTCTACTTGAGGGTCCCATGTTGATCAGAATTCACCAGGCTTTTCCAAGCCGCCTCCACCCCCTAGGTTAGCCTGTCTTTCAGACCCTCAGATGACTCACTCCCACATGCAGAGACCCACCTCTCTGTTTTGTAATCTCCCCCCATTCTTAGCCAGCTTCCCAGCCCCACCTTCTAGGATCCTGACAGCCAGAGGCAGTCTCCTTGGGGTGGAGGGGCTCCTGACCTATAATCCTGAGAAGGCTGAGGAGTCAGGGAGACAAATGCCTTGGGCTGATCCGTAAGGAGCCCCTGGCCCTACCCTCCTCACCCCCTGGCTCCCCACTAAGCCTCTAGGGGAAGAGGGGATTCTCAGACAACCCCTTTGGCCACTGCACTTGGCTCTTGACTGGAATAATTAGAGATGGAGCCAGGAATGATGTCATGCCTCTGCAGAACACAGGATGACTTTGAGCAAGGCATTTACCTTGGCCCCAGCTCTCTCCTTTGTAAGGTGAGCCAGGGTGGACTTGATAAGTTTTAACACTCCTGCACTGACATTCTGATTTGAAGATGAAAGCCCCCTGGGCAAGTCCCTCGGAGAATAACAGCCATGGCTTTGCATATTCAACTCCCCCTTCCTCCAGGTGGTGCTGATGTGGCTGTCAATCATGATGCCCTCCCCCGACTTCCAGGAATGTAGGGGTCAGAAAGCAACCCAGGCCACCCGGTCAGAGGACCCTATATTGATGGTTCATTAACGGACATGCTCCCAAGCAAGTCAGTTAAGAGATTTTCCTGGAATATGAAAGACAGAAGTGATGTTTCTAGAGACTTATTAAGCGGGAAAAATGTGAATCGAAGTCTACTGGCTGTCACCTTCCTGACACAGGAAGAAAGCCCATGTGCAGAATAAAGCCAGTACAGAGTGAGACAAAGCTGAGAGCCGAGAGAGAGAGAGAGAGAAATCCCTGATGACATTGTTTGAACCCCTGGATCAAACTATGCCTGAAGGTGATGCCCAGCTATGTTAATCATTTCCCTTTTTGCTAGTCTGATTTGGAATTCTGTAACTTACAACTGAGAGAGTTCTAACTAGTATAACCTTTCAGTGGTAGGACTATGAGAGGGGGTATTGAGCACATGGAGGGGTAGAATCTGCCAGTTTATACCTCCAGCCTGGGGCAGCAAACCCCAAACCCCCTGGCATATCTCACCTGACATGAGCTTTGACAGTCTCTTAGCCTCAGCCTTGGAGGGGAGCTCTCCTAACCTAATCCATGGCCAACACCACCAGGCACAGTTTTCAAGCTCAAATTCGACAGCAGCCTTGAAAAAGGATGTCCTTGGCCCCAGGACATAGCACCCCAGGAAACAGGCCTGTGGAATCTATAATACACGGCCTCCAGCAAGGCCGGAGAGATGGGGAGCAGGGGTCCGCAGGGGTGTGGTATACGTCAGCATGGGTTCTACATTCATCCTCGACCCCATCATGGGAGGTCTGTGTTCCCTGGCCCTGGGATTACAGGAGCCTGGGGCTTAGAATAGCCCACCAGGCCAGGGTGATGCCCGGCAGGTTGGAATTATCCTTTCTACCACCTCAAGCTGCTGACGGGGGGAACCAGCCCCAGCCACAGGGCCAAGAAGGGCCTGGGTCTTCATGTCACTGCTTGGTACACCTGCAGCATCTGGGTTCTTAGAGCCGTGTTGCACTCTGCTATAGACTGAATTGTGTCCTCCCCAAAGTCATACTCTGACACCCTAACCCCCAAAGCGACTGTATCTATAGAGAGTCTTTAGGAGGTGACGAAGGTTAAGTGAGGTCATAAGGGCAGAGTCCTGACCAATAGGCCTGATGTCCTTATAAGAAGAGGGAAAGAGAGAGCGCTCTCTCTCCAAGAACATGGAGGACACATGAGCACACAGCTGGAGGGCAGCTGTGGGCATACCAGGAAGAGGGCCCTCACTAGACCCTGACCATGTTGGCGCCCCGATCTTGGACTTGCACCCTCCAGAACCGTGAGAACATAAATGACCTGTTGTTTAAGTCACCCTGTCCATGGGGTTTTGTTAGGATAGCCTGAGCTCACCACGACGCACTCCCCTCCACCCCCTAGGAAGGCCGCGTGTGCTCCTTCCTGTAGGGGCAGGGAAATCATTCTCAGCCAGCAGTTCCCAGCTGTCACCCTGTGCCAGGTACTGTTCAAAGCCCTTGCCATGCCTTAGCTCACCGAATCCTCATAGCCACCCCGTGAAGTAGGCGGTGTTGTAGCCACAGATGAGGAAACTGAGGCACAGTTAGGGAACCAAGGTCCCACAGTAATACCGTAAAACTGAATCCCAGCCCCACAGTCCAAATCCAGCAGCCCTCCACGCTGAGAAACTGAGGAAAGGGATAAGGAAAATACTGCATACCATCACCTGTGAGAATCTGCAGCAAGGACGCCCATGGCCTTTCAGCTCAGCATCTAGACACCGTGGAATGAACTCGGGTCCCCCCCTTCACACAGTCCCTGGAAGTGACTGTCCCTGTGTGCCCTCCAAGGCTGTTTGCCGTTCAGCTGGGTGACCTTGCCTAAGTCATGTTGTGAGAAATGAGAAGTGGGAGACAAGGCTGCTCAAAACCCTTCCTGTTCATTCTCTGGTTCTCAAAACACAGAGGTTCGGGTCCCCGTGTGGGTGGTGCCGTCGGGGGAATTGTGCAGAATCAGTTCACCCAGCGTGTCCGGGTAGGGTGTGTAAGCCCAGGTCAGAGCCTGGCACGGATCCTGACTCAGCCCTTAGGAGAATAGCAAAATCTGCTCTATACCCAATCATCCCAGGGCACTGGAGTTGAGGGCCCATCCCAGGCCCTCGACCCTTCTCATCCAGCCAAACCTCATCCAACCCTAGTGACCAAGCATCGTGGTCTCACGACCTAGCCGGGCCCCCCAAAGTCCTTGTGTGACGGGGCATTGAATCCTTCCGAGGTCCATCTCCTTGTCTCCAGTGGTCCCCAGTACCCAGGACTTTGGGCTGGGGATAGTCATGGGGTTTAGCCCCCTAGGGGACTGGACTGGGACAGCAGCCCAGCAGCTTGGTCGCCTGGCTCACATGCCCCGTGGGATGCTGGAACCAAGGCTTTGGCCTGCAAGGGGCTTCTGGCATCTTCTTGTGACCACACCCAAGGCCCACCAGGTGTCGCTGTGTAGCCAGCAGGATAAGGGCTGAGGCTTTTCCCGTACAGACCCTGAGGACTGGGAAGCAAAGGAAGGAGGCCTCTCCCCCTAGCAGTGGCTCTCTCCCCCCAGCCTCAAGGCCAGCAGAAGCACCCCTGTGAAGGCCAATGCCATGGTCTACAAGCTTAGGGACAGCGAAGGTCTCCATCCATGGCAGGAAATAAGGTGGAAGAACAATTCCTGGCCTGTCTGCTGAGCCTTGCTTTTTCATCCCAGCATGCCACAGGGTGGGACCAGAGGGGCCCCACCCCCTTACCATGCCCCTCTGCAGGAGCTCCGCTCAGCCTTCCTGGGGCCCTGCCCTGGGCAAGCCCTAGCCCCATCCACAGACACCGTCAGTGGGCTGAGTAGACCCACCATGCTCGCTGACCCAGGAGGCATCTCATCAGCTCCAGACGGCACAGACCCAGCCCCTCACCAGCAAAGTTGGTTCAAGGTCAGGCAGGACTAGGAGATTCACACTGGTCATTCCCAGCCTAACCTGAGCCCAGAAACCAGCAGGCACTGAACACCGGCTCCACGCACAGGAGACCCTGGGCTTGGCAGTGGAAGGACTCTCCTCAGGCCCACCCCAACTGAGGACGGAGGAGGGCTCACCCTACAGCACCCAGAGGTCCAGGTACGGTTCTGGCCCATCTGGCGCTAGCTGGGTCCCAGGGGAGAGAGGCCAAATGAGGTGGCGCTGGGAGCCCAGCCTCCCCAGCTCCGCCGCCGAGCCCTTCTCTCGCCAACGGCCCCTCGGACGGCTCCGTCAGGCTCTTCCCCAGAGAGGAAAATCAAAAGGGGTCAAGGGGCAGAGAAAATGCAGTAGTTCAGTGAGGAGGTGCACAGCTCCATGTAGGGGATGGAAAAGGAGAGGAGAGCACGGACAGGGACATAAGAAAAGCCGGGGGTGCGGGTATAGCTTTCACGGGCGTTGGCAGAAGGGAGTGGGACCGCCGAGGGAGGAGTGGGCTCACACAGGATGTTGTGGGTTTGGTCTGGGTGATGGCTTGTCTCCCTGACGGTATCAGGGAGACGGTGGGTGCATCTCACGCCGAAGTTCCTTAGCACAAATCATCCGGTGTCTTTCCTTTATTCATCAATGCACAAATACAAATGAATCACCTGCTGGAAACTTCACAGAGCCAGGTGATATCAGGGAGACCCCAGGAAACACCCTGTTCCCACGGGCGCTCGTCACAGTCGAGCCCTCGGCAGGGACACAAGTCTTCTGACTGTGGTAATAGTGGGGAAGGTGGTGACTCGTGGTGTCACCTGGGCCAGCCTGGAGCATAACAATCCGTGGAGACAATGAAGGGAGGTGGCTAAGGGCTGGGCTCTGGAGACAAATTGCTGTGGCTGGAATCCTGGCCCTGAGACTTCCTAGATACCTCTAACAGCACCGCCCCCTCGGCTTCCCCAGCTCGGAAACGGGGACGATGACCCTGCCACCCCCACGGGGCTGTTGTGAAGATGAGATGGATGGATAAATGTAACAAATTGAGGGGGGTGCCTGGCATGGAGGAAAAGCTGCATCGAGATGCCTCGCCCCGCCGATTCTCCGCTCGCAGGCTGGCCAGCAGGATTCCGGCAAGCCTGCTTCCACTCAGACGCAGTGCTGGGACCCAGAGACCATCGCCCTGGGCTTCCTTTTTTTACTGATTTACCTTGTAATCCCCAAACCTGACCAGCAGGCAACTCATGCAGAAGGTCTAGCCACCTACAGGTGAAAATGAGGACAGGGGAACAGCCGTCCGTGCGGCTTTGTCCTGTGGCTGGGGTCGGGGGCATGGATGGAGCTGGAGTGCTGGGCAGCAGACCGATGCGTCCCAAGCAGGGAGGCTGGTGTGTGCAGAACACGAAGCTGCTGCACGTTCTCATGCCTTGGGATTGTTGACTCTTTGCAGGGCTCTTGTGGCAGTATACAAAATAGGCATTCTAGAGAGTTCCTGCAGTTAGGATCTTACATGAGGCTGTTGACATCCACACAAAGAGTTGTCTCTTTGTGCAGCTCATTTTTATTTTTGTCATTTGCTCTACTCTCTAAATCTCCACCCCCACCCCATACCACTGTGTGTCAAAACCAGCAGGAACCATGGAGCCGGCCTTGTCTTCATTTTAGGACTGAGGACCCTGAGCACGGACGGGTATTTTCCTCGGAGCTGGTACAAGCCTTGCCGAGTCTGCTGAAGCCAGGCTGGCCGCAGCGTCTCCCCAGGGGCCGGGTACTGGGCCTTCCTTAGCAACCGCCACTGAATCACAGCAGAGAGCGCTCATGGGACCGGCCCCTGGGGTGGGTGCGTTTAAAGCAGCCACACTTGAGCCTGAGCCCGGCAGAGCTGGCGAGAGGAGTGTGGGCTCCGCACTGGCATGGGGCCACCTGCCCCTCCGCCTCCTCAAGAACCCGTGACAAACAACCTCGCCCGGTGCCCAAGCTCTTGCCAAGCCGTGTCGCAGTAAAACCCTGGCAGACTCAGCAAGGAGTCCAACTGCAGCCCAGTGGGTGGGGAAACCAAGGCAGCCAGGGCCCAGTGTGCACAAGGTCACACATCGTGCTGGTCACCAAAGGCCAGGCGTCCGGGGCTGCATGCTGAACACTGAGCACTGGGGCCCACCCCAGCCAAGGCTCTGGGCCCCGGATGCAGGGGCGACAGACATTTCCTGAATCCCACCAGCACAGAGCCCGGAGAAGGGCCCAGCACTTCCATCCAGGAGTCCTCACGGCAGCCCCCTCTCGCCAGGGGAACAGAGGCACTGAGGCTCCCTAGAAGCCCCCTCAGGGCAGCAGGTCCACGCCAGGAATCCAGCTCTAGAGGAGTCCAGCTTCCAGCTGAGTGCCTGGAACACCAGACATCAAAAACCTGGCAGGCAGAGGGAGAAGGGAAGATTAGATCATTACAGCAGAATGAAGGAAACCGAGAAACCAAGGGAGGGGAGGAGGGACGGAGGCCAAGAATGTTTCAAGGCAACCTGAAAGTGCCTTCGGATTAAAGCAGGCCCAGACACTGGCAGCTTCCCCGCACCCTGACGTCCTCGGCCTGCGCAGACCCGGCGCGGCTCCGCCCCCCTCGGGGTCGGCGCCGGTCCACACCCGCGTGTGCGGGCACTGGCCCTGGGAGCGGGAAGCATGCTGCCGTGCCGGGTGTGCGTGCACGCGTTTGGGCGCACGCACGCACGCACGCATGTGCAGGTAGCCAGGCTAGGCGTGCAAGCCCACAGGAGTCTATGTGTGTGTTTGTGTGCCGTCTACAAACATGTTTTCACCAAGCTCAAGGAGCAGCAATCAGTCATCTCCCAGGAATCCTAGCAACAGCCGTGCCCGGGAAGGGCTTCTGCCAGCTGGAGCAGCGGTGAGTCAGCAAAGAGGCTGCTGCGGGAGGAGGCGGGCTCTTGCCCTCGAGCCCGGCCTGGCTGCCTCGCCTGGGTCACTGCTTTGGCACTGTGTCCGAGCACGCATTCCTGGAACTGGCCAGCTCGGCGGCCAGAGGGTTTTTCCCTCCTCCTCGCTCTCCCTCTCCCATCCTGTCGCCCTGGCCCTCCCCACACCCGCTCTCCCCCCCCCCCTTTCTTGCTGCAAAACCAAAACACCGCATTCACGAGTTCCGGAGCTCCAGCCAAATGGCAGGAGCATGGGATGGGACGCAGGGCTGCCTGGGCCTGAGCGGGCCAAGGTCTAGGCCAGACAGCAGAGAGGGCCCTGCTGGGGACTGCTGAGCGCTACTGAACTCCCCTGGGGCAAAAGTGCCATCGCTTGGGTCTCCAGGGAACCCAAGTTCAAGGGGGTGGCTCGCAGAGCATTGGACTGTGCCTGCCTTTGTCCCAATGGCAGAGCCCCAGGTTGCTGACACACACGACTGGGCCCGAGGGGGATCGGAGGAACAGAGGATTATTAATCCTGGTTCTATTACCTGAGTGCTTACTTTATCTTCACAGCACCCCTCGGGGCGATAGAATTATCCCCTCTTACAGATGGGGACATGGAGGTGAGACAGGTGAAGGGGTCTGGCCCAAGGTCACACAGCTATTAGCAATGGAGCTAGATGGAATCAAACCAGGCTAGAGCTGCCTGGGGGCTTGAACCTCAGACCACACAGCCCTTCTTCCTGAGCCACACTTGTGAGGTGCGCGCCAGGTCCACCGCACCTAGAAAAAAAATAAATACAATAAAAAACAAGAAGGGCCAGCACTGTCCACTCTCCCTCTCCCTTCCTGCGAGCCAACAGATCTGGGTGAAGAGCAATCTGCCATCTCAGCAGCCGCGAGGCAGGGGCAGTAACAGCCTGGCCCAGCCCGAATCCCTGGCCTCTTTACTGGAGGCAGGAAATGAATAAAAGCTAAATGAGTTTGAAAATGCCAGGAGGCAGTGTTTACCCCCTTCCCCTCCCCCTCCCCCTGGCAAGGACCGTGTATAGTTACAGTTTAATCTTGGAAATGCCAGACAGCTGTTCCCCGTTGCTAAGAGACTGGCCCACATTATGCAGATGTCAGGGACCTCAAATGTCTGCCGGAAATTACAGATCATGTTGGAGGAGCAGAGGGGCCTTCTCTCCGCTGGGGAAGCGCAGCGGGAGACCTGGGGAGGGGGGATGGCAGAAATAAGGGGCCCACCCCTTCCCGGGTCCCCCCTCGGTGGCTCTGGAGCCTTCACTGGGCTGGCTCTGCCGCCTGGCTCCCTCCTTCCTGCAGCTCCCACCCCACATCCGGGCCTGCTTCCTTTGACAACTGTGCTGAAGCCCATCTCCACCCTCCCCCTCCAGTTTTCCTTCTGGGGCATCTTGCTTCAGTCCAGTGTCCTTCTGTCTGTCTTACAATCTTTCCTGCCTCTGGGACTGAGCTGGGGGGAGTTGACCCCACCCTAGAACGATGGGATCCCACTCCTTGAGCCCCCCTCACCTGGGGCGGAAAATGGAAACACGCATGCACACACACACCCTCCCTGACATCCCCCTCCTACTGCTGCCACCCAAACCCAAGTGAGGGCCACCATGGCAACCACAGGCTACCAAAGCTGCTGCATCCCCTGGTCCCTGGGGAAAGGGACGACCGTGGGGGGGGGGGGGACGAGAGGGGGAGGGGAAGTCCTTGTCTAACGTGGCGCCTGACTGAAGGGCATGGGAGAATCCACCAGGGCCCTGGGGCAGGCAAGAAGCAGGCACAGCTCCTCACTCAGGCTGGCGAGGGCATGAAGAGGCTGCCAGGTGGTGCCAAGGGAGGGATCGGCATCCACAGCATCTGCAGGACGCCCCCTGGGTATTGTGGGGGTGGGGGTGGACTGAGGCCTGGGTACGGAGTGGGTGCCGAGTGCCTGCTACTTCCCTGAGAGCCACAAGGTACCTTGAGGGCAGAAGCTCCATGTTACCGCCCATGCATCCAGATGATGTCCTCTGTCCCTGCTGCCAACTGTGTCACCTTAGCTTCCTCCAGCCAGGTAAAATAAAGCCAGTGAACCTTATGTGCCATGGAAGGTGGCTGTGAAGATAGAAATGGGGTGTGTGTGTGTGTTTACCCAAATGTGAAAGCATTTTAGAAAGAGGTTCATGGGAGCCCCATGAAAGCAGGGCCTTATGAGCACCCATCTGGCCTTCCCTGGAGATGCCCGTGAGGCTGGTAAGAGAGGAACGCTATTTACACAGTTCTTTCCAGGCACCTAGGTCTTCGTCCCTACAGATGGATATCACCCTCAAGGAGTGCCTCACTGGCTCTGCGTCCTGGCTCCTCTGGTCAGCTTCTCATCCCGCACATTCCTACAGCCAACAGTAATGTTGGATGGGGAAACTGAGGCACAAACACTTCTGAGACCTGCCCAAACCATCACAGACATTAGCTTCTCCGTGGGCCCTCAGAGCTACCAATCCCCTACCAGTCCTCTCCAGGCCCCAGCAGGGCCATGACCTCTGTCCCCACCAGTTAGATGCCAAGACTCCTCCTCCTCCTCTTGTTAGCTACATGAGCTGGGCCTCCTTAGCTCTCATTGCCCTTCTGGAAAATGGAAACAGATAATAGTACAGACCTCTCAAGGGTGCTGTGAGGATTGAGTGGGATAAAGTACAACCTGCTTAGTTCCTGCTAAGCTCTCAATACACTTTTATTAAGGTGGAGCCATTCCTGGGCCCTGCCTCCTTAGAAAGGTACCAGGCTTCAGCAGTGAAAGAAAGGGGATTTCCTTGGGCTATATATACACCCGCTCCCACCCTACCCCAGCCTCCCAGCACAGTGGCTGGTTTCCACCTCTTTGGAAGGTTCTAGAAAGGTTGTCCAGGACAGCGCACCTGGGAGAACTCTGAGGGCAGGCACCAGCCAACAAGACCTGGGAGGTGGGGGTTTCATGGGGCCTCAGAGAAGATGCTGTACCAGAGAAGGGGGTGTGTGGTGGAGGACGTGCCCCCTTCCCCGTGGAAACTGCTGAGCCAGGCAAGATTTGGCGGGCAGGAGCCACGGAGACTGAGTCATGGCTGGCTCCCGGCTCATTCAGTCTTTGCGGCCCTCTAAGGCCTTCGCTTGGCAGGAGGGAGGACGAGGCAGCTGCTCAGCCCTGTCTTTGTTCCTCGTTCTCTCTCCCTCAGCCTCTCCCACCCTGCCATTTCCTCTCCCCTGCTCGCTCTCCCTCATTCACTTTCTTGGTCTCCTCCTTTCTCTCATTCTCCCACCGACCTCAGTTCCCTCCCCCTTTCATCCTGCCCTTGAAGCGTATTTCTTGCTTTCTCATCCTTTCTTCTCCCTCAGAGCTCAGAATCACACTTGGCAGTCTCCCCTCCCACCTCCCTCCCCTCCCCTCCCTGGTGTCCTTCCCTCCCCCCTCCATTCCCTCCCTCCCGTCTCTCCTTCCTCCGCCCCTTCTCCTCCACCTCCCCCAACCTCTCTGTCTCCTCTTCACCTGAAGGAGACACTTAAAGTCCCCAGACTGACAAAGCCAGGTCAAGGTCATCTACAGAGCAAGCCCTCACCAGCCCTGGTCTGGAAGACTGGGGACCAGAGACCAAGGTCAGAGCTGAGCAGAAAATCAGAATGAGTTGGGGAGAGTTTGTTTCCGAGTCTAGACAACCCCTACCAGCACTGGCGCTGGCTCCCTATCTGGAGATCTCCTATGCCAGGCCACCTGCTTCCAGCTCCTTCCTGCCTAAGCTCCCAATGCAGCAGGGACTGTCAGAGTCCTGACCCTCCCTGGTTCCGCTTACCTCCTTACTCTCTGCCCTGGTGCAGGTAGGCCAGGTGAGAAAGGCAAGAAAGAAATCAGAAGCAATAATAAACTGCTTTCAATTAGAAGGAAAGTGGCTGGGGGAGGATTGTTCCACAGATGAGGTGCACATTGTGGTAAAAAACAAAGTGCAAGGCTTTGAAACCGGACAGGGTGAACTTGAATCTTGACTCCGTTTCTTATTAGCCAATGAACTTGAGCAAGACACTCACTGCACTTCAGAGTCCACTTCTGTGGAGTGGGGATAATAAGAAGAGCACCTCCCTGCCAGGGCTGTTGCAAGAACGCAATGAAAAAGTGCACAGGAAGTGCCTGGCATGGTGGCTGCTCCTAATCCCTAGTTCCTCCCTCCTTAGAGAAAGGAAGGCTTCCTGGAGGAGATGGAGCTCGTTCTGGGTGTGGAAGGGTAGATAATAATAGTAATCATATTTCTGTTTTTGTTGATACCAGGCGCTACGCTAAGCACTTTGAATGTATCGTCTCTTTCAATCCCCAACGACCCTATGAGGCAGTTATTTTCTTATCCCTGTTTCACGGAAGAAGCAGTTGAGGCTCAGCAAAGCTAGGCAATTTACCCCAGGTCACACAGCAAAGTGGACAAGCAAAATTCTCATCTCCTCTTCTCTCAGTTGGGGTGGGGGCGGAGGTGGGGGACATAGCAAGAGTGACAGCACACAAGACCAAACACAGAGCCTAAATCAGGCAAGAGCAGGGGGACAGCAAGGGTCTGGCTGTGGCTACGGGGAAATTCTGACCGAGCCCAATGCAAACCCAGCTCTCAACCCCCGGTCAGACTTGGAGCTTTCCTGTTTCCTAGGTCAGCCTGCCTGAACTCTTGCTGTTGAACCATGGTGGGGAGAAGAGGGGTGGGGTCCGGTTTCCCATCTCTGGAGCACCATGTCCCCGAGGTTCCCCCTCCTTACCCCCCACACACCCTATAATCCAGATAATCCCTGCGGTAACATCCTGACCCCCGGATGGTAAAAATCATCTCTCTTGGTTTTTTGCCACTCTCTGTTGTATAACAGGGATAATCGCTCCTTCTCTGGGGAATCCGGACAGGGTCTGCGGGGGGCAGTAGCCCGTAATCACCAACAGGCGTGGGATACAGGGCATGACGACGACAGGAGGAGGGTCTCTTTTGGGAAAGAAGGGCAGCGAGGCCTTGAAATAGATGGTTTCTGGTGGAAAGAGGTGAGCTAGGGGGACGGTAGCCAAACAGGTGGAGTTGCCCCACCTATGTATCCCGGCCCCAGCACCCTTCCCCCAGCCATCTCAGATTACACCCAGTACTGCTCTCAAAAAGAACTCCGCAGTTTCCATGGCAACTCACCCACGTGGTCTCTGCCTTGGAGGCTGAAGTGGGGAGCGGTGAAGGGCAGCTGACAGGAGGCGCGAGGCTCAGCTCCCACAAGGTGAGGGCAGAGTCCCACCCTCCTGCCATCCGCCCTGTCCTCCAGGCCCCCCGGCTGAGGCTTCAGCAAAGCTGCCGAGGAAAGAGGAGATGGAGCTCCAGGACAAACAGGCAGCGAGGTCACTTCCCCCCAGTGTGCCCTTGGCCATGGGCCCTGGGGCAGCATCCTGTCCCACCTCTGGGCTCTTCAAGGAGAGGCCAGGGCAGGGCCTGAGCAGAAACATGCCTTTGATTGTATCTCATCTTCCATTCCTTTGAAAGGGGGTTGGCATTCTGTTCCGGGTCCAGGGTTTGAAATCTTTCTTGTTCGGCTGCGGTGAGCTGTGTTACCTTGGGAGAGGGGCTCAGCCTCTCTGAGACTGTGTCCTCATCTTTACAAGGAGGACCGACGCAGCTGCATCTCAGCTTAGTCAGAGGGGAGCAAGTGAGATCACATTGGGGAAAATGCTTTGTGAAAGAAGAAGCATCAAAGAGAGAAAAACGGAGATTTTTCTGGCGAGATGGGAGGCAACTCAAAGCCCACCGTTGCCCCCCTATCTGGCCAGGGGCCCAGCTCTACTGCACGGAACCTTGAAGTTCAGAACTCTGTGTTTATTAAAACCCTGATTTGTTAAGCCCTCACCTTTCTGTATTAACTGTGTCTTGATTGATCTCCCCTGAATTGGACCCCAAGAAAAAGCACCTCCTTCTGGCCAAATACCTCATCTAGAACCAAGTGCCCTGGGAAGGTGACTTGTGGTCCCAGCACTGCACTGATGTCAGGTGGCCAGGGCTTTCCCTGGAGAAGACAGAAGACAGCACAGCTTTCTGGGCGTTTCCCCTCATTTCCCCCCTCTTCCGTCTTTATGTCTTTACACTGGGAAGCTCCCTCGTGGTCTCTGGCTGGCAATTTCTCTCCAGCCCTGCTGATGGGGACTCGTCTGAGCTTGGTCCCCTGAGAGGCAGCCAAAACCCTGAGAAGCCGAGCTTAGCAGAGGGGTGGGGTAGAGGGAGAAGAAGAGGCCGAGGTGCCCACGGCAAACACACCTCCAGCTAAAGGGGCTTGCACCTGGCCCTGGCCTCTCTCTTCCTTCCCAGTCTCCGTGCACTGGCTGGTGAAGAACCCACAGGCTTTGCTCAGCCGCCGCCCCCCCCCCAGTCCCTTCCCTTCTCCCAAGAGCCCCTGGGGGTCCCTGAGCCTCTCCCTCCTGCGCTGGGAACTTGAGTGAGCTGCCCACCTCCCTCCGAAAGCCTCCCTCTCTCATCCATCAAGTGGGGGTGATTCTGGAGGCCCCCTTGGCTCTAAAACACTGACTCGGCACTTCTCAGCAGGCAGAAGCGCCTGGCCGCGCAGCATCCTCCCCCACAGCCCAGCCCCCTCCTTCTCTTTGTCATCTCACTCAGCAGTGCCCCCAATCCCAGAGAGGGTGGCTTTCATTATTTTTTCTTTATTTTTATCAAAGGGTATTTTTTGTCAAAAATTGTGTCTCCCCTGAGACAGCACAGCCTTTGAGCAGGCTCCCCTTGTTTCCATGGCAACAGCAGCTGGCTCACATGTGTGGTTGCTATGGAAACAAGGCTGGTTCTCCTCCCCTCCCTCCCCTCCTCTCTCACTTTCCCTTCCTCCCTCACCACCTCACTACCCCCTCCTTCTCCTTCGCCCCACTTGAGATGCAAGAAAGGGCAATGGGTGGTCCCCTGCACTGTGGGAGCAAACTGGGGCCTGGCCCCCCCACCCCGGCTAGGTAGGAGCCATGCGGGCAGACCCCCGTGACTGGCCAGGGGCCCTTCCTTCCACATTCTATATACTGCGGTACGGCTGGTCTGGTCCAGGGTGTGGGGTGCAGGCTGACTTCAGCGCTCCAGACAAGGATCCAAAGGAATCCTGCCTCTGGCAAGAGGGGGGGGGGCTGTCCTCTCGCCTGCCTGGCACAAAGCCCACCCCAGCCGTGTGCCCAGCACCTTCCAGTTGCAGACGAAGCCTGTTTCTGCCACAGCAAATACATGCAAAAGAAAAGGAAGGATTCTGGGGGAGGAAATCCAAGGCCAGAGATAGAGACAGAGGAGAGAGGGAGCGGACCGAGAGTTATGTCTTGTTTGTCAGCCGATGGTACAAAGATTCTGTATCATTTTTCCCACGGACACGGAAGCACCTAAAGAGTGGGAACCCTGCCTGTCTTGTCACTGAGGAATCTTCAGTGTCTGAGGGGAGAGAGAAAAAATAGTATACACCAACATGTTCATGGTGAGGGTTCTTATTATAGCCTTTCTGCTTTTTTTCTGCAGCGAACATGTATTAAATGTATAAAAAGAATAAACAACAGGTGTATTTGTTTGATCTGAGAGGATTAAGGGAAGGGAATTTGAAAGAGGCCAGATTGTGAAACAAACCAGAGGCAACTCTCCCTAAAAGCCGGAGCAGGTGGACTATCTGCTCTGTCTCTCACGTCACATGCCCGGCCCAGAGGGGTGAGGTGACTCTCCACTTAGCATGAGAAAGGCGCCAGGAATCTTAAGTCAGAGCAGGAGAGAAAGGCTGTCAGGCCAGGTGAGGGCAGCTGAGAGCGAGACTCCTGTCATCTGCGCGAACTGAGGTGACAAGGATGTTAAGAGGCCGATCCCCCGGGAGGTGGGCACAGGCATCCCCTGTCCCACCCCCACCCTGTCTCTCACGCCTCAGACTAGAAATCTGGCTCAGTCATGCTGGACAACTGTGAGAGCCGCCCATGCCCATTTGCCCAAAGGGGCAAATTCCAGCTCCCCGTCTCCTGAGGGGCAGGGTGGGTGGAAGGCATTCTCAAGGTCAAAGAAGACGTCATGCAGATTCTTGTCCTCAGCCAAGGGCATACTTGTCTGTTTCCTTCCCCCCACCCACAGCCAACACACTGCGGGGGGGAGGGGGGACCCAGGCACCTCGGAAATCCAGAAATCTGAGCATCTTGGATTGTGGGCGTGCAGGGGCCTGATGGGGGGGTCATGCTAATACTCCCATCATCCCTCCCTTTGAGAGACAGAGGACGGGGAGGCGAGGGCCCGGCCTGGCTCATCCCCAGCCAGCTAATCCTGCCCGCTGTAAAGGCAGAAAGAGGGACAGAAGAGAACAAAGAGAGGCCAAGGAGGAAGGCAAAGGAGGAGAAAGAGGGAAGCGGCTTTCCGCCTGGCCACTGCCACCAAGGAGAGGGCCTTGTCTTGCTCCTCTGTGCCCCTCTGTGAACGGAGAGGGAAGTGCCCAAGGTCCAAGGTGAGGGGGACGCCAAAGATGGGTAGGTGGGCATGAAGTGGGGGAGGGTCAGGAGATCGGTGACGGGGTGGGGTGTTGCATTCGGTGCCTGGTAATAAAAATAAAGCTGACAAAGTTAGTTGCACTTTTGAGGTCTCCAGACCTTCACAGCGAGAAAAGCAGCGCGTCATGAGGTTCTGATTTGCTCACTACTACCCAGTCTGGGCCAAGGCACTGAGGTGATGCTGTCTTTCTGCTGCCTCCTCACCAAAGCAAGGTGAGGCAAAGCAAGAATGCCACCGTGGTGGAGGAGATCCAAGGGTCAGGAAGCCTGGCAACGAGTCGTGGATTGTGTCCACTATAAAGTCTCAGAGAAATCATCTCTACAACAGCCCTGAAGAGACGTTCCTCCACTCTCTGCTTGAATGCCTCCTCTGACAGGGACCTCATCCCCTTACAGATATTTCCTCTCCCCAGTTTCAATTTCCTCTTCCTAATATTTGTGCTACCCTTTCCATTAAAAAAAAAAAAAAAACAAAACTATGCTTCCCATTCCATTATCTTTACAGAGAAGGTCAGTGACAAATAACAACTGGGTATATCTATCACCCATGTGTGCTAAATTAGCCCTCACCCCAAGGGTGATTCTAAAAAGCTCCCTACTTTCCCTTCCCCCCCACCTTCCAAAAAATTGTTTTGCTGGTGGCACTTTCTGCAAGCCTGAGCCCCATGTGGGGTGCAGTGGGCCAGGTTCTGTTCTTGCCATCTCTGTGGCTCCTTTATTCTTGCCCTTGGTTCTGCACCCTTCCTCCAGCTTTGAACGTGTCCTTCTCCAGTCTGAGCTCATCTGCCTGCTCTGCCGTGATGCACTTCATCTCCGAGGCTCCTCCCCTTCTCCTTCTCATCAAGACCTCATCAAGAGTTTCGTTTGTGAGAGGGCCTCCCAGACCCGCTCAACATTCCTTTCTGGCTCCCCTGTAGGATCGCACCTGCCTTTTGCCTTAGTGTTTTGAAGGTTTACCTGAGCCAGTCAGATGGGCCACTGGCTTCCCCTCTGAGTCTCTGTTTCTTTGAAGCGGGGAGAGCGTATTCTACCCTAACAAATTACCACAAACTGGGTGACCTAACACTTAAGATGTTTATTCTCTCACAGTCCTGGAGGCTAGATGTCCGAAATCAAGGTGTCAGCTGGGCCCTGCTCCCTCGGAAGGCTCTCTGGGAGAATCCTTCCCTGTTCTCTTCCAGCTTCTGATGTTTGTCCGCATCCTAGGTCCTCCTTGGTGTGTAGACCAATTGCTCTGATTTCTGCCTCCACTGTCACACAGCCTTCCCCCTGCATGTCTCTCCGCGCCTGTGTCCACACTTCCTTCTTCTTATAAGGATATTGTCTTTGGACTTAGGGCCCACCCGACTCTAGTATGACCTCATCTTAACTTGGTTACATTTGCAAAGACCCTATTTCCAAATAAGGTCACAGTCACAGGTTCCTGGTGCACGTGAATTTGGGGAGGACACTATTCTACCCAGTGCACTCCCTCACCCTCTCCTTTATCCACACCCCCATCTCCCGCCCCCAAGAAGCTTTCCTGGCTCAGTTAGTCTGACTCTTGGTCCTTGATGTCCTGCCAGTTTCTCACCAGCAGCTCTCTGGCTCAGTCTCCAGCACCCCAGTCTGTCCTCAAATCTTGGGCGCCTGGATGGCTCAGTAGGTTGGGTGTCTGCCTTCGGCTCAGGTCACGATCCCAGCGTCCCGGGATCGAGCCCCTGCGCAGCAGGGTGTCTGCTTCTCCCTCTGCCCCTCCTCCTGCTTGTGTTCTCTCTCTCTCTCAAGTAAATAAATAAAATCTTTTAAAAAAAACCCAAAAACCACAACCCAAATCTTACCCTGTCACCTAAATGTGTCCCACTGCATTCAAGTTAAGGTACAAAAATTGCAGCAGAGAACACAGGACCTTTAGCAAGGCTGCT